CACCATAGCAGGGGAGGTAGGGGAGGCAGGGGAAATGAGGTTGAAGCCTTCTTCTGCTGTCAGGGACAGCTCTGAAAGCGGCGAAGTCCTGGCACGAGCGACATGGTGGGACAGATGTCAGCTGTGCATAGCAGCGATCCCATTGTGGGGTGAGCATCCCTGACCACTTAGTCTGAAGTGGGGAGTTGAATTATCATTAAAGGGGAAAAGCTACAGTACTTACCTGAAGTGGGAAGTTGAGAAGGCTGCTTCTTCTGTTCCCACCCCAGGCGCTATTATATACATGCGGTCAGGGTCACATGGAGGAAGCCACGTCATCTCCGCACACAGCTGCACTTCTCTGGGTGTCTCCATGGGAGATCCCAGAGGTGGCCACTCAGTAGGCAGGAGTGTGTGCAGCACATGTGGCGATCAGGGGAGTGGGGTTAGGTATGTAGTGGTACATGGAGAAAAGGAAATCGACTGTAGAATAGAAATAGAGAGAAGAGGGGAAAAGGGGAAAGGAGGGATGGGGAGTGATAGCAGGGGAGCAGAGTAGGGCAGTGTGGCATGGGGTGTGGTGCAGGGTCAGGCAGGTGTGCCCTGACAGTGTGTGCCCACTCATTTATAACTCAATATGCATCCAGGGACGTCATGGTGCATTCAGTCACCCTGCACTGAAAGTCATTCTTTCGGAAACATTCAAGCTGCTACCTGCTCCAATTGTATTCTCAGATCAGATCTCATATCCTCCTTCCCAACAACACTTTTAGCCTTTTCCGGCACAATTGTGAGTCATCTTCCCATTGGATTTGCCTCTGACTTTACTGACATTGTATATCCTTATTCTAGATCCATAATGTACTTGATTGTTATGTTGAGAATGGGACATACAATCACAAGCTGAACTTGGACAACAAATATGAACGTTGGTTCAAGATCTATACCACTTGGATTAATGACTGGGTTTCACAATTTGGTGGGGCTGCCTGGGAGAAAGTGGCAAACAACTTTACATCAGATGTCCTGTGAGTACTTCTAATCTTCCTACATACACCCCCTCATTTGAATTCTTCTGTCACCCTGTCAGCGACAAGTATGATCAAAACCGTTTGCTCAATGCCCCATTGCCAATTCTTGATACTGATGGCAACATTGATGACTTGTGAGGGTGGGATTGAGGTGTGGGGATTTTGGCAACTTTTTAGGCCTGTGCCATCATGCAAACCCTCCCTTTCCTCTTCCTTTCCTCAGAGTTCATTTCCACCTGTTCATAAAAAAATGTCCACAACAATACCATATTTTGATTGCATGAATTAGGACAAGCATGAAAAGCCTATGAAGTATAGAAGCCACAGAAGTGCCAGGAGTGCGTGAATCAATGAATATGAGTTTAAAAGCACCAGGAGCACATGGATCAATAGAAGCTCCAGGAGTGCAGGAATCATGAGTATGGGTTCAGCAGAACCAGGAGAACTGGGAAAACTGCCCAGGGCTCCAAAGTGATACAGTCAGAAGCTTGATTACGAAGTGGGCAGACTGAGAGACCTTTATTAAAACAGATCAGTTGGTTTGCCTGCTTCAGACGACTCAGATGACTAGAACCCATGTGTCAGGGACAGCTCCGAAAGCGGCGAGGTCCTGGTGCAAGGGACTCGATGGGACAGGTGTCGGCTATGCATAGCGGCGGTCCTGTTGCAAGGTGAGCGGCCCCGACCACTTAGTCTGAAGTGGGAAGTTGGATTATCATTAAAAGGGGGGAAGCTACAGTACTTACCTGAAGTGGGAAGTTGAGAAGAAGGCTGCTTCTTCTGTTCCCACCCCAGGTGCTATTATATACATGTGGTTGGGGTCACGTGGGAGGAGCCACATCATCCCCACACACAGCCGCACTCCCCTGGGTATCTCTGCAGGAGATCCCAGAGGTGTGCCGCTCTGTGAGCGGGAATGCGCATGGCAGGCGCAGCAATCGGGGGAGCGGGGTTAGGTGTGTAGTAATATGTACATAGAGAAGGGGAAGTCGACCATGGAACGGAAATAGAAAGAAAGAAGGAAAGGGGAAAGAAGAAACAGGGAGTGATAGCAGGGGAGCGGAGTAGGGCAGCGCGGTGCAGGGTCAGGTGGGGTGTGCCCTGACACCATGGGACTGTGTTAGAATGGGCAGAAACGGACGACTCCGGAGTGGAATCGGAGACTTAGCGTGGAGGGACCTTGGCCTCAGCGACTCAAGCGGAGCGCTGTGCCATTGCTGTTTGTCCATTTGGTCCTTAATTTCACAGTAGGTGAGCAGGAAGTCTCTTGGGGGCATTTCAGGTCGATTTCGGACTGAAACCAAGATGAGTATGTACAAGCGCCGATATATATAATGGAAGGGGCAAAAGCACAAAGAGAACAAAGGGTGACTGAATCGGAACGAAGACGTCCGAACAGGAACAAAGGGTAGAGGGAGCGGAGCGGTACCGAAGGTTATAGGGCAAGACCTGTGATACGTCCGAAAGGAGGTAGAGAGGGCGAGGCCCAGAGGGGCAGGAGGATGAGGGGAAGTGGGGATGATGACTAACTGGCTAGAATAGAAGGAAGCAGTAGTCCAAATAGGGATGAAGGGAAAATGCGAGAAATACATTACAGGCGGCGAGAGCGCCGAAGGCGGTCCGCGAAGCTCGGGGGTTGCGGAGCTTACGGAGGTTACGGAGGCGGGGTTGGAAGTCCGAGGAATATTGGCAATGGTGTTTACGTAGTATGAGGTCACCAATGCAATGGACTAAGGCCGAGGTGGAGTCAAAGTCCGAGGTAGGGACTATGACGGAGGCTCGGAGTAAGGTACGAGCAGTGTCCGAGTGCGAAGTACGGAACAACGGTAGAAGGTCGTAACTTGGCGGAAGGGTGGTGGAGGAGTAACGGAGGGAGGAGAGAGTGGCAGAAAGGAGAGTAGTCAGGTCCGAAGGTGAGTATCGGAGCGGACGGGGGAAGTGTAGGAGGTTAACGGGAGGGTGGAGGTGTTGTGAAGGGGGAGCGGAGTAGTAGGAGGAGGTGTGTTGCCAGGACCGAAGGTGAGTATCGGAACGGCAGCGGTAGGTTATGACTCCGGAGGTGAAGAGGGTGGAGGTCCGGAAGTCGGGTCGGGGTCGGGTATGCACGGATATGACAGACTGCCCAATTCTGATCAAGGGAATTTGCTGATGCTCCAGAAGCATACAACTTGGGAATGGGAGATTCACTGAGGAATCTATACCTAGACTGCCTTGTGTTGGGCTCTTCTCAGTTGCCATATTACAGATCAACTGTGGTCTCCAGCTTCATGCCATTCACTCCTGCTCTTATTAGCCAGAGTACATGCCAGCATTATGGTTCCACAAGGCTTTATTGGCTTGACTATCACCAATCCAATTTGTTTGGTGCACAATGCCATCTCCATTTTCTCAAACCAATGTACAAACAACTTCTCAGCCTTTCTGGACAGCTTGGTTCTTCTAGTAACAGTGCCCCTTATCAGGTCCAGAGTTCTGGTTTTCCTTAATCCTATTTGGGTGACCCAAGAACGCTACCAAGACAATTAAGTGAAAAGGGAAAGAGTGTGGTTTTCTTCTCATTGTAAAGGTCAGGCCAGGGTCTGGGAATGGATAAAGTTTGTACAGGATTTGATGGTAGGTACATAATTGTGCCTATCTGCATAAATCCTCAATGATGGGGTGTTTCAAATTCAGTTAGAGTGTGTGGATGCAATGCAACGTTCCACCACAGAGCCCATACAATCTGAGTGACCCCCCAAGCCTTGAGCCCGATAGTCAGCACTCATGGGGCTGCCTATGTAGTGATACCATGAACTTAAGAAGGGTCAATGATAGATTATATATAAGGTACAGGCCCTGGTAGCTAGACACATTGCGATAAGCATCTGCAGCTTCCGAATAGATGTATAACAATCATAATGTGGAGACCACAACTGTCATATCCATACAATCCCAACCTCCACTCCAGGCTCCCAGAACTCCGAAACTGACTCCAGAGCCCTACTTCCGTTCTGTCACCTTCTCCTTGCTGATGTTAGAACTTGCGGATTCGGACGACTCCGGAATGGAATCGGAGACTTAGTGTGGAAGGACCTCGGCCTCAGCGACTCAGGCAGAGTGCTGTGCCATTGCTGGTTGTCCTAGGGGTCCCTAATTTCAGATCTAACAGAGGGAAAGTCTCTTGGGGGAATTCATGTCGATTTCGGACTGAGGTTACAAGTTACTAGGTACATTGTATATAAGGAGGGGTCCGGAATCAAAAGGAACAAGGGTAGGACGAAAGGAGACAAAGGGAGATGGAAAGAGGAACAACACCGAGGGTCAAGTGTTTGACTCAATGGTGTTTCCCAAAGGAGGAATGAAGGGCCAAGGCCCAAGGAGGAAGGAAGGAGGATGGGAGTCGGGAATGGCTAGCTGACTGAATAGAAGGAAGCAGCAGCCCAAATAGGAATGAGGGAGAATAGCGGAATTGAAATGGACAATGCAATAGTTGCAAGGTCCGGAGTAAGTCCGGAAAGTCCGAACTCGGAGGTTAAACTCCGGAATATTGGCAAAGGTAATTAAATGGAATGAGCTAACCAATACAATGGGTATAAGCGGAGGTGGGGTCAAAGTCCGAGGTCGGAGCTAAGACCGGAGGTTCTGGAGACGAGATGTGAACGGGATACCAGAGCGGAGGTCCGGAGTTGGGAGCATAGGTTTTGCGTACTCGTCTGGAAGGTGTCGAGGTTGGGGTCGGACCCGGAATGTTCTGGAGTCGGACCGAAGGTGGTGTCCGAGCCGGAGGTGGGATAACCTCTTGGGAGTCGGCAAGGAGAAAGTGATGGAAGGGAAGTAGGGCTCCGGAAGTCGGAGTTCGGAGTTCCAGGAGCCCGGAGCGGAGGTCGGGATTGTATGGATATGACAATTACCTGCGTTCTTCGGATCACTCCGGATTGTCTGATGGCAACTCCCTTCTGGCATAGGGAGTCAGGGTAGCTGGTTAGGCCGTGCCCTGACACTCGCCCAGTTCTAACAGTAGCCAGCAATCAGACCATATGCCCTCGTTGTCCCTATTTGCCTCCTCCAGTTGCAAAATGGCATATCTTCATGATGCTCTGGTGGCTCCATAAGCAATCTGTGAAGTGCAGCTCTTTGAGTCACATGGAGCTGCAACAAGTGAAGCAGATACAGCAGCCCCATCATGATAGAGCTGCCTTCATCAATCCTACTGATGGGGATGCGAAGTGCATAGTAAGAGCACTGGACCACAAGTTCTTTGAAACCATGTGAAGCTGCCAGCATATAAACTTTCAGTGCATCTGTATTTGGTTCTGCTGCATGGCAGATGAGGTCAGTGAAAATCTCGGAGTCCTGGGGAATGCATTTGGAGAGCCGGCAACCATACTTTTGGAGAGTCTCAAATGTCTGAGTGATAGTTTCAAAGTCGGGACAGTAGATGCATGATGATGTGCCCTAAAACAGGGAGAGATAAAAAATGTCGATAAAGAATGGGTGGAATCACAGATAGAACCCGGCACACATATAAGATATGGAGAATGCAGTTCATGACTGTAGCATCTTCTGGGAGGCAACTAACGACCCATTCAGCCTGATGGTGCCATTATCTGTGAATAGACCATTGAAAGCTGTGTGGGATCAGGTTCAAAGCCTGTCATGATGGACATGTGATGTCTGTATGATGGAGTCGGGAGGAATATCTGTGTAAGGATAAGGGAAGTGAATATTTCGGTTGAATGTGGTGGACGTCATGATGAAGTCTAAATTGATTACATTTTCTTCAGTGCTATAGGATGAGGGCTCTGGTTGAAGGTTGTATTGGTCAATGTGTGGGTGTAGACAGCCTCCAGCAGAACCTGGGGCGCTCACTGTTAGAACGGGCAGATTCGGATGACTCCGGAATGGAATCGGAGACTTAGCATGGAAGGACCTTGGCCTCAGCGACTCAGGTGGAGCGCTGTGCCATTGCTGGTTGTCCTGGGGGTCCCTAATTTCGGATCTAGCAGAGGGAAAGTCTCTTGGGGGGAATTCAGGTCGATTTCGGACTGAGGTTACAAGTTACTATGTACATTGTATATAAGGAGGGATCCAGAATCAAAAGGAACAAGGGTAGGACGAAAGGAGACAAAGGGAGATGGAAAGAGGAACAACACCGAGGGTCAAGGGTTTGACTCAATGGTGTTTCTCAAAGGAGGAATGAAGGGCCAAGGCCCAAGGAGGAAGGAAGGAGGATGGGAGTGGGGAATGGCCAGCTGACTGAATAGAAAGGAAGCAGCAGCCCAAATAGGAGTGAGGGAGAATAGCGGAATTGAATGGAGCAATGCAATAGTTGCAAGGTCCGACATGAGTCCGGAAAGTCCGAACTCAGAAGTTAAACTCCGGAATATTGGCAAACATAATTAAATGGAATGAGCTAACCAATACAATGGGTATAAGCGGAGGTGGGGTCAAAGTCCGAGGTTGGAGCTAAGACCGGAGGTTCCGGAGATGGAGACGCGAACGGGATTCCAGAGTGGAGGTCCGGAGTCGGGAGCCTAGGTGTTGCGTATTCATCTGGAAGGTGTCGAGGTTGGGGTCGGACCCGGAATGTTCCGGAGTTGGACCGAAGGTGGTGTCAGAGCTGGAGGTGGGATAACCTCTTGGGAGTCGGCAAGGAGGAGGTGACGGAAGGGGAGTAGGACTCCAGAAGTCAGGTTCGGAGTTCCGGGAGCCTGGAGTGGAGGTCGGGATTGTATGGATATGACACTCACAATGGAAGTAATAGGGTCATGCAGGAGGTATGCCAGTGAATCCCCCATTTTCATGTTGGTGTAAGTAATCGTAAATGGGGATGGTAGGAGGCTTTATACTTTTGGATTGAGTATTATACTAGGTCAGGATCTGGAGTCAATGCATGACAACAGGTGACCTGCCCCTTACGCAATTCATCATAGGGGGGTTCTCCCAAATCCAGCACAAAGAGCATGTCATTGATGGGTCCAAATAACCTGAGAAACCAAATTGTCAAAATTCATAATTTGTTCAGTGTTACCCAGCAGTTCGTTAGCAGCAGCTCCAAGTGCCAACATATTTGCCTCATTGATAATGGGATTGTCTGAGCCCTCCTTAGAGTGGCATCCTCAATGGCGATCAAATTAAAGCAGGTGTGTGGTGGTAACCTGAAGAGAGCCCAGCAGACTCCAAGTGCATTATGTAAGTGGTCAGTACCTGTGGCGATAGAATTCTACTTGTTGTTAGAACTGGGTGAGGGCAGATGATTCCAGAGGGGAACCGGAGACTTGGCAAGGAGGGACCTTGGCCTCAGCGACTCATGCAGAGCGCTGTACCATTGCTGTTTGTCCATTTGGTCCTTAATTTCAGAAGCAGTGAGCAGGAAGTCTCTAGGGGGCATTTCTGATTGATGTCAGGGCATGGGAAATGTTACCGTAACTCGCTGTCGGCGACCGTTAAGGTCCGCTGCTCTGGCGTAACAGCCCGTTAAGGGTGGGGGTGACAATCATGGTGAAACAGGGTTTTGGCTTCAACGACTCGTTTGTGAGCGTTGCACCTCATACTTGACGTGGCCCCGATATTTCAGAAGGCAGAGGGTGTGACTGAATCGGACAGAGAGTGCAGGGGGTAACCCTAGTTGATTTTCGAACTAAAGTACGAGGTAGTGTACAACCGGTATTTAAGTATAATGGAATGAATAGAAATAAGTTGCCAGATCTCATGGAGATTGCGGGCGGGCTTAAGAAGAAACGAAAACAAACAAAGAGTGTGGGAGAAGGACGGCCGTGCACGGCCATCAAGAAAAACAAGCGTGATAAGGAATGGCTCATAGGCCTGTGACGGGCTGTGGAAACAGGTAGCAGTGATGGGGAAGGGTGATGGGCTTGTTCAGGCAGCGTCGGGCAGGCAGCGGAGTTGATGGGGTCAAAGCGGAGGAGGAAGAAGGTGTGGGGAGTGATCACCTGACCGTGGGAATTGCCAGGTCATGACAGTTGATTTTAGACTGAGGGCCTAAAATGAGTATGTACAAGTGCCTGTGTATATAGTAGAAAGACAAAGGTGTCCAAATGGATGATGGAAGCGGAGCAGTACCAAAGGTCATGGGTTGACTCTGTGGTACATCTGAAAGGAGATAGGGAGGGTGAAGCCCAGAGGGGCAGGAGGATGAGGTGAAGTGGGGATGATGACTAACTGGCTAAAATGGAAGGAAGCAGTGGAAATCATGAAAGATACATTACAAGCGGTGAAAGTGCCAAGTTTGGTCCATGAAGCTCAGAGGTTGCAGAGCTTATGGAGGTTATGGAGGCAGGGTTGGAAGTCCGAGAAATGTTGGCAATGGTGGTTACTGTCAGAGACCGGATCGAGATGAAGGAATGTCTCCGTGGCGGAGGGCTTCAGCCTCAGTGACTCAAGCCAGGAGCGCTGTGCCAAGTTACACGTCCATGCCCTAATTTACTTACTGGCAATGAGAACTAAAAGGGGGTCAACTCTAGTCGATTTTATGAGGTGTAACCTATGTACAAGTTTGAGTATATATAGTTACAGCGAGGGTGGGCCTGTAAATGGCAGGGCCGAGTGGAGCGGAGCTAACGGAGTTAAACATTAGCTGATTGAATATTACTGACAAGTCAGGTTACGGGGTTAGCAGAATGTAGGCGATAACCCAGAAACGGAAAGGAGGGATAGGCCTGAAGGTGGGCTTGCAGGGTAAGCGAGTGAATTGCCCAGCAGAGGTGGGAGTGTGCTAGCAGACGTTGGAGCCGTCCGGAAGCCTTCGGGGCTCTGTACTTAGGGAGGTGTAGGTAATATATTGAAAAGAGGGGGTGGTGACCATCAAGGGAAGCGGAGGTGATTGCGGAATACAGGAGCTCCAAGGTTAGTGAAAAAGGAGCGGAGGTAGTCTGGAGGGACTGGAGGTAGTGAAGGATGATGGCTGTGGATGGGTATGAAATTTATGTAGAATGAGGTCACCAATGCAATGGACTTAAGCTGAGGTGGAGTCAAAGTCCAAGGTTGGAACTATGACGGAATCTTGGAGCGAAGGTATGGGCTGTGTCTGAGTATGAGGTATGGGATGGCAGTGGGAGGTCGTAACTTGGCAGAGGTTTGGCAGAAAAGGGTCAGAGGGAGGAGAGTGACAAGAGGAGTAAGGAGTGGAGTGGAGAGAGGAATGGGGTCACATCCAAAGGTGGGCACCAGAGTGGACAGAGGTAAGGTAGGAGAGGGACAGATGGGGAGTAAGAGGAGAAGTGTGGTGTGAGGAGTGATGTTTGGTCTGAGGGTGGATGTCAGAGTGGATGGAGATAGGGTAGGACTCCAGAGGTGATGAATATGAGGGTCCAGGAGTTGGATCGGGATTGGGTATGTGTCATATCCATCCACAGCCATTGACTTCCACTACCTCCGATCCTTCTGGACCACCTCTGCTCCTTCTTCATGAACCTCGGAGCTCCCGTATTCCGCAATCACCTCCGCTTCCCTTGATGGTCACCACCCCCTCTTTTCAATATATTACCTACGCCTCCATAAGTATGGAGCCCCAAAGGCTTCCAGACAGCTCTGACATCTGCTAGCGCACTCCCACCTCTGCTGGGCAATTCACTTGCTTGCCCTGCAAGCCCTCCTTCAGGTCTATCCCTCCTTTCCATTTCTGGGTTATTGCCTGCCATTCCGCTAACCCCATAACCTGACTTGTCGGTAATATTCAGTCAGCTAATGTTTAACTCCATTAGCTCTGCTCCGCTCAGCCCCACCATTCACAGGCCCACTCTCGCTGTAACTATATATACCTAACTTGTACATAGGTTACACCTCAGTGATAATATCAACTAGAGTTGATCCCCCTTTAGTTCTTGTTGCCAGTAAGTAAATTAGGGCACAGACATGTAACTTGGCACAGTGCTCCTGGCTTGAGTCACTGAGGCCGAAGCCCTCTGCCACAGAGGCAAATCCTTCATCTCGATCTGGTCTCTAACAGTATGTACGGATATGACACTTGTCCATGCCACAAAATGGCAATGCAGTTCTACATCATCACATCCTGTTTAAGGTTCGAGCCACAATTTTGTCTCCAATTGCCCTCCTGGATCATCGTTCATGCAAAGATAGAAGCCAAATAATGAGATTACACTTAGAACTGGTCACTGTTAGATACAGCAGATTTGGACGACTGCAGAATGGAATCAGAGACTTAGTGTGGAAGGACCTCAGCCTCAGTGACTCATGTGGAGCACTGTGCCATTGCTGGTTGTCCTGGGGGTCCCTAATTTTGGATCTAGCAGAGGGAAAGTCTCTTAGGGGGGAATCAAGTCGATTTTGGACTGAGGTTACAAGTTACTAGGTACATTGTATATAAGGAGGGGTCCGGAATCAAAAGGAGCAAGGGTACTCCAAAGGGAGTTGGAATGAGGAACAACACTGAGAAGGGTTTGACTCAATGGTGTTCCCCAAGGAGGAGTGAAGGGCCAAGGCTCAAGGAGGAAGGAAGGAGGAAGGGAGTGGGGAATGGCTAGCTGACTGAATAGAAAGGAAGCAGCAGCCCAAATAGGAATGAGGGAGTATAGTGGAATTGAATGGGACAATGCAATA